CTTAAAAATAAAGATTCTTTATTGGCATCAATGGTTCCATGAAGAACCTTGAACATCCATGGAACCTTTCAAATGCAGAAAAAGTTCTTTGTAAGTGGAAAAAGATTCTTTAGATTTTTGAAATGCTCTTCAAAATGGTTCATTTAAGAACCGTTAACTGAAAGGTTCTTTGGGGAACCAAAACTGGTTCTTCTATGGCATCACTGCACAAACACCCTTTTGGAGCCTTTATTTTTAAGAATGTATTGTATGACTTCAGAAATCCTCAGTCATATGGACTACTTTATGGTACTTCTGCATCCTTTTTGAAGCTTGAAGCCGATTCACTGTAACTGCATGGAATAAAGTGTCCAGTACATTATGCTAAATTACTCTTTTTATGATGCTCAGAAGACAAACAGATTTGAAATGACACAGTGCGGAGAGAATAATTCATTAATTTTTGGGTGAACCATTGAAACCTCATGCATAAGTCTACATACATTATAACATATTACACCTTTAAACTGATCACATGCTTTTAATGCATTTTACATTTAAAAAGGCATAGCAAGAATACGAATGTATTATAATTATTTGTAATAATGCATTTTCTAGTTATTTGAGAACTTAAAACATTACAAAACATTATAAAACAATGTGTATTAAAAGGCATTAAAAATGCAAATAATTCACAAATATGTGACTTTCGGGTCAAAACTGCTGAAAAACAAATTATTACCACACAAACATGGCTTATGTATCAATACATTGAATAATCAGGAGTTCTGTTCAAATTTCTGTCCTCTCGAGGTCTCTACGTAAAGCGTAAAGTGTAATTCAATAGATCACAGGAAACCGTATCTGCTACAGTAATTCAGGCTGGATCAACTGACCATGAATTTCTGCCTGCCAATTACAGTCTGTATACATCACCTTTCAAGAGCCGTTTTAGAGGCGAAAACAAAAAAAGTACTCACGGATCCCAGCGAAAGTGCAGTTTTTTCCTGAGCGTGGACACCCGTGGGTGACAGCCCAGTTTGACGGGTGAGGTGCATGATAAAGTCCTGCTCTGAACCATGATGCTCTAAACTCATGTAGAACTGCACACGGTTCACACACACCCTAGCGGGATGAGGACTCCTCATTACTGAACTCACTTCACCCCCTCCTCTCCTCTCCTCTCCTCTCCCTCGCTCTCTCTCTCTTTCTCTGCGCGGGCCGTGTCTTGTCCTGCGGTGACCTAGATCCTGCGTTTTCTCAGTGTGTGTGCTGCGGATCAGTACAGCTTGTATCCTCACCTGAGGTGTGACAGTGGTGAGACCACCAGCAGAGACACTAATATGACCATCAAAGTCTCAGAGACACACAAGAGATTGCATGCTACTGGCCAAAAATGCATATAAATATATAAAAACCAGAGAAACACAGATGTGATAAGCTGAGTACATTTGGCTGTTGATTCGGATGAACCTGCATCAAATTGGCAAGTAGGATGTAGAATTGTAATTTAAATTGTAGGAAGTAGAATTCAAACAATATGACATTCAAGTAGTTTAAAGGGTTTGGTTTATTAGGTTTTGACTATCTTTTGAATTTTTTACTAAATTTTCCTTGTCTTTTCCGATTAATGGGGGGAAAAACACATTGTATAGAGACTGCACGTAAAACAGCTTCAAGGCAATTAAATATTAGACTAATAAACTAGCAACAACAACAACAAAAAGTACATTGTATATTCACTACAGACATTTCCAAGAAGTAATAAGAGTTGTTTTTCATAACCAGGCCTGGAAATCACAAATTCCCTGATATTTCTGATTCACATACTGGGGCATTTTCAGAAACATTTGATGAAATTACTGTACATAATTAGCATCTTAAATGTAATATCTATGGAAATTTGTGTTTAATTCACATATACTGAATTGCATTATATGAATTATTTTTAATTTATGAATAATACATTTTTACTAGTGCTGTCAAATGATTAATCTCGATTAACCGCATCCAAAATAAAAGTTTTTTTTATATAATATAAATTATATGTACATAAATATATACATGTAAATATATGTAAATATTTTCAAAATATATATTGTATGTGTGTGCATTTGTATATACATAATAAATATACACAGCACACACACATATATTATGTAAACAAAAACTTTTATTTTGGATGCAATTAATCACGATTAATCGTTTGACAGCACAAATTTTTACTAAATTAATTTTATTACATTAATAATATTAACACACTAATTGAAAATAAATATTGTCAACATTTATTTCTATAGGCAGTGAAAACCATGTGATCAAACTTAAATTCTGTTAATTATTGATGTATTGTAAACAGTATTTACAGTTTTAGTTCAGATCAGAAATAATGTATATTCCATGAAAAAAATTTATGACAATTCATGTCTTGTCATAAAACACTTGCAAATTCAAATTTAAATTTGAATTCAATATTCTGGCCAATTCAATTAAAAATTCATACTGCCAAACTAAAAGGGAGCATGCACTGTATGCATGTGTGTAAATGAGAGTTGAGGAACTTTGCTGTGATCACTTCAGCCTAACGGGACACAAACAGACTGAACATTCATCACCTTTAATGAGCATTAGCTGCTTTTACGTCACAACACAAAACTGATTTAAAGATAAGCTCAGGAATCAGCTGAAATCAGGTTGCTGAGTGCACAAAAATGAGCTGCTGGCGACTGTGTGCATACTGACTTTAACAAACTGACTTTAGCAGGTGTGGAGATGCACACACACTTCTGCACAAACACACAAATGACCTCTTTTCAGACAAACACATGGTAAATAATGCTCATGAATGTTAATAGCAACAATACACAAAATCAATGAATGTACAAGCAGTGATGTTCACGAGACACATTTCATAAATACAGAAGAAAGAACACAGTGTTCCAAGAGGTCCAATAAAAGCACCAACGAACAAGCGCCTGAAGCCTAGAGATGAAAAAACGCTCATATGATATTTCAGACGAGGATTGGCGTGTTCTCTGACCAGCTGGGCTCAACAAGAACATTTGAGGGCAGCTAAAAATCTGAGCTTTCACTACAAAACTTGCTTAGGTGATTCAAAATGTGTCGCACCTGGTTTAGTTCATGATATTTCTGAGATGATGACAAAATATATGGTCTCAGAAGAAGCAATGGGCTGTTCTACAGGTCTACTGTCACATGAAAGTGAAACACGCAAGAGTTGTTTTTGAGATGGCACAATACAGACAGTGAGATCTGTGGTCAGATTCAAAACCAGACAACAGATGCAGAACTTGACACGGAAAGAAGAACAACTTCATAAGCAAAACATGAACCACCAAAAACAGATACTTCAACCACTCTAGAGAAGCGACACTGAGACTAAAACCAGCTGCCAGCAGCAGGAAGTTCACATCATGTCAACATTTTCAGCATCTGCTGAAATGGCAAAGATTGAAATGAGAAAATAAAAAATACCAAGCGACAGAGGCTGAATCCCTGAATTCGCAAACTGTGTCATATAAAACACACCAGATTAGCATATTTCCACCTCAGAGTAAAAAATAAAAAGAGGAAATTAAATATTAAATAAAATAACATTATGGGATATAACACTAACATAAATAGTGAAAAGTTGCATTGCATGAATTAAACTGATAAACTTGCAATGGACCCTTTTTAAAGATTGTAATGACATCACAAACATAATAAAGCGTTTCATATTTAATTTTTTTTTTTTTTAAAGGGGCCAAACAAAGTAGTTTCGCTTTCACAACGAAACACACGGTGGGCTAGAGTAAGCGGCGGCCGGTGGCCTAGAGTGAGCGGAGGCTGGAGGATTCGACGAAGGAGCGTCCGGCGGGCTTGCGGCAACCACATGTGATGACCCCGGGCTGGACTCCGTTTCGTCCACGGTGAAAGCCGATCCGGCGATCCACAGCGCGAAGTTGATGTATTTCCTCAGCGACCAGCACGGATCAGCTCAAGGCATGACGAAGCAGATATCGTCCTCTTTTGGAAGGCCAAACAAAGTAGTTTCGCTTTCACAATGAAACACACAGCGCCTTCACGACATGGCGGCGGCGGCAACAACAATACTACAGCGAGAATAAAAGTTACGCCTTTCTTTGCGTGAACAACATTTGAGCGGCGTTATGCAAATCTTCCTACATCGTGACGTAGACATGTGGGGGCATGTTAGAACGAGCCGTTTTAGGTAGGCGTGGTTGACTCTTAACTTTTATAAAGAATATCTCTTTGGATTTGAGACTTTAGTCTTTGCAACTTTACAGATCTTCTTTATGCACCAAGAGCTTGTAACACACCAAAGAGAAAGGAAAATTTGAAATTGCATCATATGACCCCTTTAATGTATACTTATAGGGAGTGAGTCATGGCAAATGTGACATCTTTCTCTCTTCTAACCACAGCAATCAATCTCTTAATTTATTTTTTTAAATCTTTTGGAAAATCATATAAATGCTATTGTGGAATTTTTTTCTTTTGCTATTGGAGCAAATGGTAATGCAAAAAACATTTGTGGTAGTTTCCATTCACCACTACAGAAGTTCACCCAACTATGACAACTTCCTGAAAAGGGTCCATAATGAGAAATAAGGTAGCAATTATAAGAAGTAAAATCAAAATGACCTTTTTAGGTTTCTTGCTTTTTAGGCAGAATCAGGCTATCATACAAAGTACATTTACAGTACACTGAAAGCAGTACATAAAGAGTGTGCAGATTAAATTCTTTTTAAGGAAATATCACATACAATACATATTTTCCCATCACAAGTGAATAGTTACAAGCATACAAATTCAGCCAGATTGTGAGCTGACCAACCACTGACCTCTGTTGGAACCATAAGTAAACTACGGTGAGAGCAGCATAATGCATAAATATAAGACGAGTGAGATAAATGCCTCAATTAATCAGCTTCCAGGTACTTTAACATGTAAAACCCACTGACAATGACAATGACATCCAAAGCAGCTCAGTGTACCTGTCGTCGCGGGTGTTGGGGCTCAGGTAGCGAGTGGACTCTTCCTCATGGCTGCTCTGCAGGCTGCTCTGCTGACTGCTGTAACACAGAGCGTCACATTACAATCACAACATAACAAATACACACATACACACCAGATGTCCACTCATACTGAGAATGAGACAACAGAAGGTGAGTTTGGACACACAGTGATGTCTTTTAATTACAGTAACAAAAAAAAAACAAGATCAACACACAATGGGCATATAGTTTGACAGTTTAGTGTTTCTCGGTTTACAAATTTCCATCAAGTGTCTTAAACAGACATTTTAAGGATACCATTTAATCTTTTCCACTAGAGGACAGCAGAGAGTGTCCTATTTGACAAGAGCGTTATAAAACTGAAACAACACAATACGTGCATTTAACCAGTTAACCTTGACATGATTATCATGTACAGTGTGCAAAGTACACTTAAGAAAAGAAATGATAGAAAAACATCCTGTGCATTCAACCACAGAAGTGGTTCCCTGAGTTCTTTCATATTGCATGAAAAGGAAGCAGGTGAGAAAACAACCTAACAGATCAACACACCAGAGCCCTACATTGATAAACACTGGTGTATTTAAAAGGGTTTTCTACCAGCAAACACCTGACAGCTTACAGTACACAGCTGATAACTGATTCATGTCAAACATCTAACCTTAAATTCCCTGTACACTACCAGTTAAAAGTTTACACACACCTACTCATTCTGTATTAGAAGTATTTTCCACATTTTAGAATAATAGTAAAGTCATGCAATTTCTGAAACGACAAACTTAAGTATGAGAATTATGCAGTGATAAAACAAAACACATTTTTTAAAGAAATTAATACTTTTATTCAAGGATGCATTAAATAGATCAAAAGTGACTGTAAAGACTTTTACAGTTACAAATCTATTTCAAACAAACTTTCTTTGAAAAAAATGGTTTCCACAAAAACATTAAGCAGCACAACTGTTTACAACATTGATAATAATAAAACATGTTTCTTGAGCACCAAAAAAAGCATATTAGAATGATTTCTGAAGGATGACGTGACACTGATGACTGGAGTAATGATGCTGAAAATGAAACTTTGTCAAATGATATTAGAATGGAAAACAGTTATTTTAAATTGAAATAATATTTCACAATAATACATTTTACTGTATTTTTGATCAAATAAATGCTGCCTTGGTGAGCAGAAGGGACTTCTTTCAAAAAACAATGGGGATGCAATGGATGCAAAAAAAAAACATACACTTGATTGAGGAGGATAATCTTTTATTCTGTAAGAGCTCCAGCTATTTCTATTTTATAAATTAATAGTTTATAAATAATCAAGATCATAAATCATAAATTCAGTCAAGTGTGTCCATACTTTTGACTGGTAATGTACTTCAAGTCTAATTTCAGCTATTGTTAAGGCTGCTTGAAGTAAATGTTTAGGTCATAGCAGAAAAGTATATACTGCATGTTGTATTTTTGTCTATTAAAAGCCAGCGAGAGTCATGAATATTTAAGATGTCCCCAGACAAACTCCTGTCAGCATTCCTGGCAGCAGCAGGCGGCTGCTTGTTCTTCCCTCCAGCCTATAAATGTCACAGCAGAGACTTCAGTCCCTCCAGAGAAAATGGGGAAAAACACACTCACGCACACACAAACACAAAGGTTTTCTGCTATGGCTAATGTACCAGAGCAAGCTCACATGAAGACTCAAATGAAGTGGTGCACATTAATCATGATGGACAGCGGGAATGGAGAATGGATGTGTTTGTGTGCTGAGATCAGGCAGTGCAGGAGGGTTCGGTCTCGTGCTCATACAGACCTGCTCTCACTGCCGTGCTCTTTTTTCTCGCCTCCTCTCAGCCACTTGCGCAGGAGGAAGCGTCTGCGTTGGGGCGAGGCGCTGGGGGTGGAACAACTCGACCACGCTGCATCCTCGTCGCTGGACGGCGTGATCTCAATGGATGGAAGCTGCAGGTACTCCTTACTCCCAGAACGCTGAAGTTGTTCCTTCTCCAGTTGCTCCTTCTCGCTCATGACGTTCTTCATACGGTGCATTTTAAAGCGCTTGCGCCGCAGAGACGGGCTGGACGAGCTGGACAGGGCCGGATCCACATCGCATCCATTGCACTCCCCGTCTACCGGGCCCTGGATCTGCAGCGCGGGCAGCTGGAGGGTCTCTGACATGGTTCTGCTTCTGCTCAGTCTTACATGAGTCCAGAACCAAGTACAGATGCAGATCAAAGAGCTCAGCGAGTCCACACCTGGGCTGAGCTAAGTTCAGCACTTCCTGTGAGATGGCTCAGTGCTGACATGTTGGGACTTATAGAAGATTTCCTTTAAAAACCTTTTGTCCAGAAAGCCAGCATAGCTCCCTAGAGGTCAGAGGAAGGTCATAGGATCTACTAGGTTAGCAGTTATCAAACACTGGAAAATTGCAATAATTAAAAACATAAAATGTATGTTTAATTTTAAATTGATTTATTTAGAATCATATTTTATGTTTAAAGTTTTTATTTTTATTTTTGAATAAAGATTTGTGCATTTAAGAGTTTATTAACACACATTATTACTTTAAGATTGGCAGAAGTGCATAAATAATGTATTTATTTATTTGAAAATGGATAGTTTTGATTTAATCAGGTGTGTTTGAGAACCACTGTTCTAGGTGGACAGAGCGTGCATATAATCATCTACACAAAACACTAGGACTTTACAGAAAAGACTACACAGAAAGGACAACATGCAAAGCAAATCAGACACTATTAGGTAGCAAAAATGACATATTTTGCTCCCTCACACACATGCTCTTTCCTGCTCTGCTCTGGAGTATTACTGAAAAACCATTGTGAAATTAACATACATTTGTGAAATATATATATATATATATATATATATATATATATAAACATTTCTTATTATCAAAGTTGAAAAGCTTTTGCTGCTATTTTTGTGAAAACAGTGATACACCACTATTTAAAAAGTAAGACTTAAAATAATAATAATAAAGAAATTTATATTTTTATTCATCAAGGACAGGTTAAATCGATCAAAAGTGACAGTAAAGTCATGTATAATGTTACAAAAGATTTCTATTTCAAATAAATGTTGTTCTTTTTCATTTTTTTTATTCATCAAAGAAAGCTGAAAAAATATATCACAAAAAATATTAATCAGCAAAAACTCAACATCAATAATAAGAACCACTGGTAATAACTGGGAAACAATAGTAACTGATAATAAGTGATCACCAAGTTAGAATATAAGAATGATTTCTGAAGGATCATTTGACAGCAAAGACTATAATGATGCTGAAAATTCAGTTTTGATCACAGGAATAAATTACATTTAATATTATATTAAAATAGAAAATTATTCTTTTTAAATTGTAATAATATTTTACAGTAGGTACTATTATTATTTTTATTTTTGATCAAATAAATAAACCATTGGTGAGCAGAAGCTTTCAAAAACATGTAAGAAATCCTAATTATTCCAAACCGGTAGTGCATATTTATGTATTTTGTTACAAAGTTACAAAAAAAAAAAAAGCTTTTGTCACTGTGGAGGAAGTTTTGAGTTCTGTCAGTTACGGTATGTTTTCATAGTACAACAATTCTTATCTGAAAAAATCTAGGAAGCTTGATTCCTCAGGATATGACCCAAATTAAAAAAATTTAGAGCCAGTCATGCGTGTCAGTGTTAATATAACAGGCATCATGTAGCACTGCACTTTAGGCGTGTATAAGGAAGTCAGGCGTAAACATGCCAGCAAGTTCATCTTACAGCAGGAAGTGCACTAAGCCGCAGCCCACTGAGAGCAGACACACTCACGGGCTGCCCATCTGGCTGCTCAACACATCACACAATCTGCTGACTGACCCCTACGGCAGGTTAGAAACCTGCCACACACTGTTAGATCACTCCTGTTACTGCTCCACTGGAGATGTCCTCAGCAGTAAATGCCAAATATATGAGTTCTGCATTCTTAGACTTCTTAGATTATATACAAAACAAATCCTACCATGTTCCCCAGGTGAGGGGCTCCGGAAGGTGCACACCGTACCACACTCCATAACCTGTACAGTACATATCTGACTTTTAACTTCCTGTAAGAAAGGCTCTAAAATGAGGCCATTAACTTTTTTTTCCGTTATTTAAGAAACCACAATGCATTAAAAATGCATATAAATCACATTTTGGTGTGAAATGTATTATATTTTATGACTGTATCAATGCCTGTCTTCACTTATAAAATGTACCATGGCACTACCAAGGGTTTTTGGACCTGGTACAATAGTAATACCTTGGGCATTTCATGTAAAAATGTGGTACACGAATTTCAGTGCCATAACTTATATCAAATTAACATGGTATTATGAAAGTACCATAGCACTACAATCTGTTACCATCATTGTACCTTAGTACTGCCACAGTACTTTTTGTAAGACTTGTTATGTGGCATTATTTATGATGACACATTTGATAGGCTACTCAAGAAACCAAGTCATAAGCACTATAGAGAAAGACTGTATCAGAAAGCAAAGTTTAAAAGTCATTCTGCAATACCAAAGTGCACAACAATATTTCCTGTAAAATATGCTATACTTTATTGTTTTAAGTGGAAAAAAATACGATTTCAAATTCTCTTTAAAATGGTATATTGATCTGTAAACAATCCTTAACGGTACAAATAAAAAGTTGAAAACATGCACTATACAGAAATGAGGAAAATCTTACCTTTTACATCTCAAACAACTACAACCTTCGTTTTTAATATGCAGTCGTTGTCTTTACGTTTTAGATAGCCGGAATGAATGAGAAACCGTTACGGCGTTTATTCCCACACTGTTCTGTTATGATCTTCACGTTTCTTTTCCCCCGGACAAATCCACTCCGATTGAAGGGGAGAGTTGTCACGCAGAAACAAATTAAATGTTGTTTTACAGAACAACGTGAACTGGGTTTGTTATAAGCGAAATAAAAGCAATAAGACTTGTGATTCAAATATTTGTGAGGTAAAAAAACAAAACAAAAACGATCGGATGTGACATATACGCAGATTGAGCTCTGCCAATCTCCCCTCTCTCTGAGATTGAGGCGCCCCGGATCTCTCAGCATAAAAACAGCCGGTACAGTACAGGCTCATCGTTCAAAAGAGGTTGCCTTGTCGCCCGCAGCAGTCAAGAGAAACATATTAACGCAAAATATGCGACACTTTAAACTGTCGTGCTTGTCTAAAGAAATGAACTTCCTTCTCAAAACGAACTACTTTTAACGTTAAAACGTCGTTCATTGTTCGCTGGAAACACGAGTCAGAATGTTCAATTTACTGAGGTAAAATCTAGTAGGCCTACACCTTGACAGCAGTAAATACGTCTGAGAAATGTACAACCATAATGACGAAAAAATATGACAAACATTTTTTGGCCGGAAATACTCGTCAAGAACGTACTACAACCATTTAAAACTGAGGTAAAAAATGAGAAGTACATCTTGACAGCCAGAAATACTTCTAAAAATGTACCACCCAAAAGCGCGGTTAGCACACATCTTGCCAGCGGGAAATGCAAATCAAAATGTACAACCACCTTCATTACTGAGGTAAAATCATAAAATCATCTTTTCATTATATTGTTTACTCTGTTGCACTACAAGTCTTTGACTTATTTATAGTATGCCAATATTTTCTAACAAACCCTTAGTAATGTGCTTCAAAGCTTTATCTTTGGGGAGTCTCTTTAACTGGCTGAGGAACATCATGCCACAGGATGCTGGATTTATTTGGCAGATGGCTGCTTCAGTCTGTTTTGCGTGTGACAGTTTTCCCTCACCACACCATAACGTTCCTGATGTATTCATTCACTACACCAGGGGTTTTCAACCTGTGGGGCGCGAGACCCTGAGGCATACACTCGAGTAATTATGAATACGAGCTAGCAATTTTTTAGGCATCCACTAGGGGGCAATCTGATTAGTCCCGCAGCTAATTATCAGGCAGCCGTTAGAGCAGAGTTGGTGCGATCGAGTTCGAGAAAAAGTAAAAACAAAATGGACCGGTGGCTTTTTAAAGGGGTCATATGATGCGATTTCAAGACACGCCCCCACATGTCTACGTCACGATGTGGGAAGATTTGCATAACACCGCCCAAATGTTCACGCAAAGACACTGAAAGACACTGAGCGCAGACACTGAAGCATACACACAAGCATTTCTCACAGCGCACGAGTACTCTTTCGCGTCGCATGAACGGAGAATTACACACAAAATGATGTAGAATTGTCCGTTTTGACGAGTATTCACGTAAACACAGTTGTTTACATCTTAAGTGATTGTAAACAGTAGGGAGAACGTGTATCAGTACATTGCATCCATTGCAGGGCATGTTGTGTCACCGCAGTTAAATTGTTGTCTATCATGATAAAACCTTAATATCAAACCTATATAATGAGTTTGGACATTTTAGAGAAATGCTTAATAAATGCATTACACTGTAACTAAACCCATTATATTTTAGCTGACTAAGTTTACTGTAGATTTAGTCGACTAAAATTGTATATTTAGTCGACTAAAACTAGACTAAAACTAAATGGCATTTTAGTCAAAAGACTATGACTAAAACTAAATCAAAATTTGCTGTCAAAATTAACACTGGTTTGTAATTATTAACACCTTTTACCATCTGTATTCATATCTTGTCTTCTGAGAATCAAAATAAACACTTGTTTCGGAGTGTAAATTAAACACCAAACTGTAAGCTCCTTACAAATAGAGAATTTGAATTTGTTGTTTTATATATATTAGGGATTCCTCTCCGGGCAGTTCTCCCTCTCGCACCGCGCCGGAACAGGGACAGAGAAACCAGGTTTTAGTCGACAGCCTCAACCAACCACAGGGTAAATGGCAATGGAAGAAACGTCACTTACCCCTTTTGTGGCTGGGAGGGTGTCCTCGTCGTGCTGCGGGCTTCGTGCAGGGAAGGGCAGTGATCAGGAAGGAAGGGTCCAGGTAAGGGGCGGAGTCCGGCGGCCGCACGCGCTCCCCTCTCCAGTCCGGGGCGCGAGGGGCGGCAGCTTCTTCCAGCGGCGGCATCCTTCTCGCCTTGGCCCCGGCGGGTGAAGGGTCTAGACGTCCCGGCATCCTGGCCCGACGGCCGTGTAACAGGTGCGGCTCTCGTACAGACCGCAGGTCCGGTAGCTCGCATCTTCGGCGGCACGGAGGTCCCTCTATGCACCCTTCCTGGACCCACGAGGACACCAGCGTGCATGCACGGGGAAGAGACCGGTCTCCCGAGGAGAGGCGCGCTCGGCATTTAAACAGCGGCGGTGATGAGGCTCCATTTGGTTCAGGTGTGCCCCATCACACGCCG